GTTTTAACGATATCATCCACTATATATGCATGATTTGTAATGCTTTGAATACAAGATGTTGATGTCAAACAATGTTCTGTGTTCCAAAATAATTGTAATCAATTATGAGTTAAACATTAATATTGAATGTGTTGATGACATATCTGATATTCCAGCCATAGTGTACGTATAGCTGTTGTTCTGAGTGTTTTTCACTCTAAAAGTAGTGATGTGCGGAGTCAGGCAAGAGCAATATCATTTTATGCAATTTGTGTGAGTCGCGGTTGTTACCGGTAGTACGGGACACGCTTACTCTTTTCCTGATGCATTTCATCATTACTGTGCATTTTACGCCCAATATTAATGGAATCTGTTTTGTCAAATAATCGAAAGTGGCTATTCTTTGGCGTTTACGTTTTATATTTCATAAATTGAGGCATTGCCGTTATGTTATTTGGTAGTCATTTATTCATATATTGCTACACTGTTCAAGGTTATAAACCTAAGAAGGACTGGTGGCCCAGTCCTCTAAGGCGTCGCGATTCGCTGTGCAGAGTTGCGTCCCTTGGGCACGCCAGAAACCTATGATTGTAGGTTCGATTCCCAGTTCGCCCCGATTATGTTTCTACGTTTGTCAGCACCATACCCGTGCTTGTGGGTTTCACCGAAGTGGTAAACGTCTGAGACCTGCATCACTTCGGGCTTTCCTCCCACATTAAACTGACACGCTGTGATAAAACTTGAATACTCTTAAAAGCGGCGTTACACCCAACTCACTCACTCACTATGAAACTTGAGTTTTCAGACGAGTAACGGGTTGCTTGACCGACCTGATACAAACATCAAAGGAAGATTCTGAAAGACCCAAAATAACACGTGACTAATTTTCTGCACTTGACACGAGGGTTATAACAACCAGGTGTCTTAAAACACCTGTGTGGAAAAACACTCATTTTGGGATGAAGCAACACTTAGAATCAGCGGTCGATGACTACCATCACGATATTCGTACACAGACTCATTTATCTGCCAGGAAACACATTCTCGTAATGTCTTCTGAGACATCCCGTTATTTATTCCTATAAATTTGACATTACATCAATTAATAAGAAGACCTGTCGTCCAACTACAAAAGGGGTGTAACAGATACAAAATTTACATTCTTGCATAAGGTTACATAAAATTATGGTTAAGTATGGCAAAACCGGTTACTACCTTCTGATTTTCTGTCATCTGCTATATTCGTTATTAATTTATTCTTATAATAATATCGTTATCGTATACGTCAGTAAAATTGCTTGTCCGTTAGCTATACATATTGAGTAATAATGATATATTAAGTAACCATTTATGTGATTTCCATCATTATGTTGCCCTTTGCACACTATGGAATCATTTTCGGCAGATAATAGAGACTGATCATTCTCTGGCATTGATGTTTTAAAATATGGAGAGTGACGGTTTATTTCAATTAGAACGATAAGATGATCTTCAAGTGGAAGATACTTATGGCAATACGGGTTCAATAGGGCCACCTTTAACTAGTGAGTGAGTGAGTATGGTTTTACGCCACTTTTAGCAATATTCGAGCAATTTCTCGGCGGGGAATTCCAGTTATGGGTTTCACACATTGTACCCATGTCGGGAATCGAACCCAGGTCTTCGGCGTGACGAGCGAACGCTTTATCCACTAGGCTACCCGACCGACCCCATCTTTAACTAACTTCTACCATTCTTGCATTATTGTCCTTTTCGTTTTGTAAAGCTCCTGTTTGCGTTCACAGTGTATTGTATTTGCATGATGTGATAAAGGAAGACAGTCTGACAAACTATTCTAGAAATGATACTAAGTGACAAATGCTTTCTGTCAAACTATTCTGAAACACCATGATATTCTGACGCCGAATGTGCTCAGTATTGCGTTGAGTAATCCGACATAAAACTGGCAGTGTATTTGTTTGCATTTATCTCGCTAGTATTCCTTATCTCGGGCATAAGAAACACTTTTTCTAGTTCATGCTGTTTCTGATTACCAATTATCAGCGCCCTTGCTGTCCGGTCTAATGTATTTTGTGGAAACCTCAGTGGAATATTTCAGGACTTTTTCCCATATTTACGGTATGCGTACGTATACTACAAACAACAAAAAAGGTTGGTACGTCTATAATGACATGACCGCGTGGCAGGACGGAGGTTGAATTTGAGTAAATATCTGTTTCAAAATTTCAAAAAAAATAAAATGAAATTATGTCCAAAATATGTTTTCTACTTCGCCTATGATGTGTTCCGAAATGATTGAAAATATTGTTGCAAGTCCTAATGATTTGTTTGTGTGATACATTATTTACATTATATCATATTAAAATGGAGACAAGTCTAGGTGGAGGTAGGCATGACATCCTATCTGATCTCACAAACATTAGGAATGTCGTGAAACGGAATTATGCCATTACGTTTCCTAGACGTGATTTAGAACTGAACAGGATTCCGGAACATTGCCCCTTCCATTAATCATTACATAAATCATCAACGCATCACAAAGGGCACAAACATGGAGATGAGGATGCCATTATTAATGTTTCCTTCTGTTCCAGGACGCGTTCCTTTAATCTTGCTAAATGTTTTAACACAGAGATTCCTAATTAAGTCAAATATATTCAACAAAGAGGACTACACACCTTGCGCCCAAAAATAATTCATTTTGGGCGCGGTAAATTGTCTGAACACAAACATAACACAATAATGCTGAAGGGTCCAAGAAAAGAACCTTTGATCTGACAGTGTTACACAAATCTGGTACTAAAATGTTGTAAGGCTAATTTTATAAAATCCCTACACATATTAACATGAGGGTCGAGTTAATTGTAAATTACTCTCTAAAGCAATTTGGTCAAAATACTTTTTTCATATTATTCAATTTAAATCTGACATTTCATTAACGTTTTGAAATGACTTCTTGTGAAGTTGGGTTAATGGGTTAAATGGGTTACAAGTGGCCCAGTGGTCTTGGACACCTCGATTCGCTTGGAAGAGTTATGTATATTAGGCGTGGCAGGATCCGCTGATAATTGAAATGTATGATCCTTGGTCCAACTGTTCCAAAATTATGATCTGGGTTTCAGCACAGTGAGACATATCTGCATCCTGCATCACCTGTGGCTTTCCCACATCAATAAGCTTGACAAACACGGAACTGAGTACTGTTCAAAGCGATGTTAAACCACATCCATTCTATAATGTGCTGCATTGGTAATAAGGAACCACTGACGATGCTGGTTTTGTTCTTTAGTATTCTGTATCCATTTAGTGATACAGGTTATACCATTAATCCACATATTAATCCCAGAAAATCCCCGGAATTTTAAAATATTGGTATGTCACATTCATGGTCAGAATCACATGCATTAAACTGTTACAATGCGTACAAAAACCTTATTATCAGTTCAATGCAATAATCCGTGAAGATCCGGGTTAAAGTAGGTCTTCAGCAGCCATTCTTGCCGTAAAAGGTGACTATGCTTGTCGTAAAAGGCGACTAACGGGATCGGGCGGTCAGGCTCGTTTACTTGGTTGATGCATGTCCCACGTGGGTACAATGTGTGAAGCCCATTTCTGATGGCCCCCTCTGTGATATTTGAATATTTCTGAATGCGGCGTCAAACAACAAACAACAACAAGCTGTCGTAACGTGAACAGAACTGATTGTACACCCTTATGAACATTTGCAGATACACCAGTAAACAATTTTATATTAATGTCAACGTAATCGTAATAATCTGTGCATGAGTGAGTGAGTGAGTTAGGTTTTACGCCGCTTTTAACAGTATTCCAGTTATATCACGGCGTGTCAGCTTAATGTGGGAGGAAAGCCCAAAGTGATGCAGGTCTCAGACGTTTACCACTTCGGTGAAACCCACGAGCACGGGTATGGTGCTGACAAACCTAGAAACATAATCGGGGCGAACCGGGATTCGAACCCACAATCATAGGTTTCTGGCGTGCCCAAGGGACGCAACTCTGCACAGCGAATCGCGGCGCCTAATATATATTAGAATATATATATACTTTGTTTAATTAGAGTATATATAATAAATTAGTCTAGTTCTCAAATAAACAACTTCACTTGCACGGTGAGGCGAAATGGGGCTTAACGTCGCGTCCAAGATTATTGCACTTATATAGCGACGTGCATTCACGTGTGTGTGTGTGTGTGTGTGTGTGTGTGTGTGTGTGTGTGTGTGTGTGTGTGTGTGTGTGTGTGTGTGTGTGTGTGTGTGTGTGTGTGTGTGTGTGTGTGTGTGTGTGCATGTATGTGTGTGTGTGTGTGTGTGTGGCTGCTTGTACTAGTCCGGACTCATACCAATTTATTGTGATAGCTCACTGAGATACCATGCCGCAGTTTAACATGATGCCCCACTCAGACACAGTATACTGACTGTGAGCCGACCAGTCCTTGTTATAGCCCCTTAATGCCGAGCGCCAGACAAGGTAACAACAAGTACCATCTTTTAATGTCTTTTGGTATGAGGCGGCCGGGGATCGAAACCCGGACCTTCCGCCCTCCGCTCTGCAACTAGACCACGGAGGCGGTCCTTCACTTGCAGCGACGTAACCCTAGATAGTGCATTCAGTGTGTGTGTATTGTCTTGACTTCTCGCGAATACTTCATTCCAGATGGGTTGAATGTATTTACTTGAATACCCCTTCCACTTCACAAACTGTCCAGATAGTGTTATCCATTAGGCTTAAGAAGCGAAATAGTGAGTAAGTGATTGAGTGCAGGTCTCAGACGTTAACCACTTTGGTGAAACCCACGGACACGGGTATGGTGCTGAAAAACCTAGGAACATCATGGGGGCGAACCGGGATTCGAACCCACAATCATAGGTTTATGGTTTGCCCAAGGGACGCAACTCTTCACAACGAATTGCGGTGCCTTAGACCGGTGCCACCCGTGACCAATGTGAAGTGAAATAAAAGTGTCCCTTCTTAGTAGTAAATAAGTGTATCGAAATATCTGAGATATATTTATTCACGCAAATAACAAGATAGAATGTTTTAGACAATGGAAAGATGAGTAAATGTAAACAAAGAAATTAATTGTAACATTATATACACAGACGCTTCATAATTCCTCTGAACTGTCTCCTGAATGAATGTTGCACCCGTTGCTTAAACATGTAATATCAAACAACAATAAAAGAAAAACTTGGTATCACAGATCCATTATTAGGATATAAAATACAATTCACAAGAAGCACAATTGAAATATCTTTTCATGTTGTTTGAATCAGGAGCTGCTGAAGGAGTCCTCCATATCGGATCGCCTCCTGCGGTGAGATCGGAACGAGGCTGTGTACAGGGGTCTTCCGGCACGGGGTACCTGCAGCTGGTTCCGGTTGTTGCCGCGTTCCACGTCGGCAGAACTGGAGTGGGAGTCGGAACGAGAGCCTGAGAGAAAGGATGCTTTGTGCCAGTTTCCATCTGCCCTTGTTTCTATTCCTCTGTTTCGGTCAAGAGCCACTCTGGTGGCTGTCAGACGGATGTTCGTACCTCTCATGGAGTCGCGGAATGAGCTGTGGAGTGACGACCTGGACCGGTAACTGTGACTTGTGAAGGGGCGCGAAAACATCATCTAAGGAAACAAAAAGTCTTTTGTATTAGAACGCAGACAACCTAAAAACCATTGACAAAATAGTCGAGGGTTTATCATTAGTTTGTTATTAATAGATTACCTCTACTCAATATTCAGTGCAGTCGTGACGTTTGAAGCAGCTGACATCCTGAACGTGACACTCAAACAGAAGAATGTTTGTCGCGTCAAACAGCTACAATGATATGATAAATAGAAACTACACATGAACTGCTTCCAGATCTGGCTTTGGAGTTTTAAAGCTGAAAAGTCAAAGATTTCCTGGTATCTTTTACAGTTTGCATGTCACCATCTGGCTATACGTTATCGTAGACGCTGATTTCTTCCACAGCTGTTTATTGCTAACATACATGCAAGGCTAACAACACACCGTCCAAAGTGATTTTTACTCATGGTAACACATTATACACCTATTTTCTTTATACGAATTATGATTGTGGTGCAGCAGGGTGTATCAGTATTACGCATTATCTGACATATGCTCATGCATGTAGGTTATGTGATAATATCCGAACGCCTATATCATAGATATATTAGTACTGCAAAGGAGACAACACGGATCATGGACTTATATGATCATACACATCATTGACAAAATGAATCAATTCCCTATTTTGACTCGTACGATGTGTTCACGCATGTTTTTAGATGAACAGTTGCATTGCCTTTACATGTATTTGTGACGGGTGTCACCAGTGGGGCAGGATACGCTCACCTTTTGATTGTTTTAAACATAGCCTATTCACAAGGAAAAGGATGGCACAGCCTTGGTTGCCCTCTCCTTAATAGCATTATATAATATCACAATTGAAACACGTACGAAAGACAGAGTAGATACAGAGAGAAGCAGCATGAAACAGAGTTTAACATTTTTGCGAGTACATGGTATCATCACTATTTAATAGTAACTCATAAACATAATTATCCTTATGATATAGTCGGAAATAGAGCAGAAGAATATAAAATATTTCTTATGATTATGGAAATAGTCCTTTATATTTTCAGATTTGCGATTATTAATGTTGTGTTGTGGCTGGATATTTCATTTGGTTCAGAGGTTTCATTACTGTGTAATACTCGATAAGAAATATCAAAAACACAAACTGTTTATCCACATTGTGCAATACAACGTTGACGTTATCAGTAGTTTTCGTGTTCTCTTTGTCTCCTTGAGACAGTCGCCCTGGAATGCTATATAACGTCATGATACAATGGGTGACGTCATAAGCTTCAACAATCTGATCACTTCCGGGTAAGAGAATGAGAGGGAAAACTAAATCTAAGTTGTTCTGATTCATATTTAATGCGATATAAACAATATACGATCAAGCAAAATGCGACGTGTCTGAAATTTTGGATTTAGAAAAAATACTCTTATCAAAAAAAATATTCATGCATTGTAACAATTCCTGAAGGTTTTCCCAGTGGATAGCGCGTCTGCCCGGAGAGTGGAAGGTAGGTTTTTCAACCCCAGCCACGTCATATCAAAGACGTTAGAGATATATAACTAGGCTATATAAGTGCAATAAGCTTAAACTCGACTTTAAACCCACTTCACATCAACTCACCTAAAGTTTTCCGATCCCATCGTGCAACGTTTGTCAACCAATCAGAATACAGCACATATTCACATTCATATTACAGGGTAGAATGTCTGGGACGGAGCAATAGAACTTGTCATATAGTTGATGGTAATTGCAGCTGTCAGCATTCGAGGATTAATGCATAAGACGTTATCTACATGTAGATGAGAATTTTAATCCACTTCAGGGTGTCTATATTAAGAACCTACATTAAGGTGAATTTTATCGATTTAAGAAGACTCTGCGAACTTCCTACTCATGATGAGCTGTCATGCACTGTTTGCAGCTGTCTAAGTGCCTTGTTGAGTTGTGTTAGTTTTCTCTGACGTGCATGTATTTCTGTTCGTATCTAACCCTACAGCTTATATGCCATACAGTATATATAGAACATAGACGTAAGTAGATGGACCTGTGTTTCCTTATTAATCCCAATATTCATATACGTTAAAGCTTTAATTAATCCTGAGTGAGTGAGTGAGTATGGTTTTACGCCGCTTTTAGCAATATTCCAGCAATATCACGGCGGGTGACACCAGAAATGGGCTTCACACATTGTACCCATTTCGGGACTCGAACCCGGCCCTTCGGCGTGACGAGCGAACGCTTTAACCACTAGGCTACCCGACCGCCTAATAATTCCTGACAAAACGTGTACTATTGTAACTTGTCCATTTTTGTATCCTCCACGCTACCTCTTGTTGTCGTTGCTCTACTTCTACGTCTTCTACTGTTACTACTATAACTACTACTACTACCACTAGTTCTACTACTACAATTAATAATAATGAGAATAATAATAACAACAGCAATATCACCACTACTGCTTTTATATTGCTACTCATACTACTACTGCTGCTGCTGCAACTACTATTTAGGAGTAAATAATATATAGAGGAGTGAGAGAATCAATGGTGTTTGACGCCTAAGCTATAACTAGGCTATATCACGAAGTCCATGTAAATCTGAACCAGGTACATCAGTGACTGAAAACATGACACCTATCAACGTGAAATGAAAAGGTTCAGCAGTCACATACAACAAACTTAATGTATTCTCCCCCTAAAAACCTCTTAAGGGATAGAGTATGGGATTCCAACAAATGATCACAGTCTCTAGCACGCAACTCTGAAAAACAAAGTGCGGCGCCTCAGACAAATGGTCTAATCGTGCCCCAGGAAGAGATTGAAGGCTAAACGATTTGCCCAAAAGTGAAATACAATATATGTGAAAATTATGGGGTCTAATGGCAGGTACAGAGAAGAGAATCTTCACTACCGTTACGCTTGACTTGTTTCAAACTAGAGGTGTAGTATTCACCTCCAGCCTCTCACAGCCATACACATCAGCAGAAGAAGTAAGAGCTACATGAAAGGAACGTCAAGGTCCATTACCATCTCACAATTCGAATGATTCTCCAAACACCTACTGCTGCCACCTATATGTTTACACCCCGCCTCTGGAATGCCTCCAAAAACACGGTGTGTTTATTGTGGAGGTAATCACGCGTTGTGAAGGAAGTAAGCGCCCAACATAACTCAGTCGTGACACACTCTGTTACTTGTCTAGAGTAACACTTACAAGGTCAATGGCCTCAGAACACAACCTCGTCACTCTTCCCACATACTTGCTCAACAGCATCTGTCTGTGGGTACCTTTATTGCCTGTGAGCCTAGTTCGGATTTTTTTCCACCAGCTGATAATATAACTTAAACACATGTTTAAATATGGTATTAAGTCTCCCCTGAACTCTAATGTGTGATTATGTTAACAGGAATAGTGGCTACATAGCGTTCAGACATCATGTCAGGGTCTCTGTAATGTTGCAACACTTCGAAGGAGCCATAAATACAACATTGTTTCTCAGACTGTTTAAAATAGATTGGTTAAGTAGATGACCTTTTTGTAAATCGTTGAGAAAACGGTGTAATGAACGCCCAAATAAGACTTACTTGTAATCAGAATATGTCTAACAATATCTTTCAAATAAGGCGACACAACTACGCGTTATTTTTTCCAATCATTGCGAGCTATAAGACCGCATGACCTTTTCGCCAACCATCCTGGTAATTGCGTTGAAGAGATTTCAGAGGAATGAAATCAATGAGACTAAGTATTTTAACACAAACCTAAACCAGTTCTCTAGTCAGTCATGAAATGGCCAATTATAATTGACATGAGGAATATTACAGTTATAAAGGTGACATTTATTACATGTTATAAAACAATGCCTACCTACAGTGTATGTACGTCATATATAGGCCAATGCCGTCGTTATTAACGCGTCCCAACACTTCATCTCGGTAAAGCATTTAATAAAGCAATCTCCTGATACAAACTCGATCTGGGATTAACATCAGTGTCAACATCATCCCTGACAGGTTTATGTTGCAAATGAGGACAGCATTTTACACTCAACTCGACTTTCAACTGGCAATTAAGGGAAGTTGGACAAGAAATGGATCGTTTATGAACTCACAGCTTCACAAATGACTGTAGGGCATGTTCTAACGGTACATTGTTAGTTTACATCCCGTTAAGAATCACTGAAAAAAACGTGTATCGTCAAAAAAACACTACAGACAGGGACATTAATGTCTGGGTTGGTCAAAAGAGTTCACATTTTCAGCCACTGGGGTTCAAAACTTCTCATTATAAAGTTGCGAATGAACATATCACTCAGTGATTAATACAAAATTGCGTTCAAATATAAGAATATGATTACATTATCATATTGTGAATTTTGTTAGTTACATATTTCAAAACTCCTCTCCGTTAAAGATTTAAAGTATGTTGGTATTTAATTGAGATGAAGAACGACCAGAAATCTCACTAAGGAGTTATATTCTCTTTTTATAAAAATATTTCAAAGTCTGCCTATCATACTGTTGTGTTCGTTACACAGGTATAAATAAAACAACTTGTTAGTTAATTTCCCATTACATTAGAATAACCGTGTCTTTTTTCTGTGTAAGAGGCAGATTTATCAGGCAGCGTACATTGTACAACAAATGTAAGCTATTCAGACAACCACTACCCTGTTGCATGTTTGTAAAACGTAAACATACACGTAAGGCTAATATGTAATAATGATAATATTTTATAACCGAAATATTAAATACGACTAATAAAGGCTGATATGGAAGAAAAGTGCCCAAACAAGTTGACCATGATGTCAAATTACTCAGCCAATTGTCACCGCCGCATCAATACGCGGTAGATGTGTCGTATATTAAGTGTCCTAATGTTCTGAATGTCCTAAATAGCGCTGACCATCAAGGCCATTGACAAGTTTATGAGCACTCTCGGTGCAGCATAATAACTTGTATTAGCCTCCTTGACGCCTGGTTACCACCTGTCGACTATAACACTGTAGGGGCAACCTCACACTGGGCGAGACAG